TGTGAATAAATATAAAAGACTTTTACTTTAAAATCTATCTAAAAGATAAACATCTAACTAAATAAAAAATATTAACAATATCATACTAAAGTGTATTACATACAGGGAACATATGTACAAAGGCTGGAAAGGAGAAATGAAAGTATATTGTTTTAAGGTTATTATACATGAAGTGGTATAATATTAACTGAACAAACAATGGGACTAGTTAAACCCTAAGTAACCACTAAAAAGAAGAATATGAGGTAATAAGCCAATAACAGAAATAAAATGCAATAATAAAAAATAATGAACCCCAAAATAGGGAAAAGAGTAAAAAGGAAATAAGCAACAGATAGTACAAATAGAAAACAAAAAGTACGGTAAAGAATTTTAAACCCAATGAACCAATCAGCATATCAAATGTAAAATCTTTAAATATCTTAATTAAAAGCCATAGGTTACCACATTGGCAAAAATAAGCAAAACTCAATCATATCCTGCTGTACTTTAAATAGACAGAAATAGGTTACAAGTAAAAGGATGGGAAAAGACATACCATGTTAACGCTAATCAAAAGAAAACAGGAGTGGTTGTATTAATAACAGAAGATTTTAGAAGAAATAATATTACTAGGAATAAAGCAAGACATTTCATGATGACGAAAGGTTCAGTTCATTAGGACAACATAACAATTCTAAATGTTTATAAACCCAATGACAAAGCTTCAAATTATACAAAACAAAAATTAATAGATCTGCAAGAAGAAACAGACAAATCCCTATTATACTCAGAGATATAAATATCCTTTCAATAGTTAACACAACAAGTAGATAGAAAATCAAGAAGGAAAGATAAGACTTGAACAATACTATCTACCAAATTGACCTAATCACACATTTATAGAACACTCCACCCAAAAACAGCAGAGTATAGATTCAATTGTACACAGAATGTTTATCAAAATGGACCGTTTTCCTACCCACAAAAAAGTCTCAAAAATTAAAAATGTCTATGCATATGGAACATGTTCTCTGAAAACAATGGAAATGAGTTAGAATCAACAACAGAAAGTCTTCAAAAACCAATCCCCAAGTATTTGACAACTAAATAACAGAGTTCTAAATAATCTTTGGGTCAGAGAAAAACTTAAAGGAGGAATTAGAAAGTGTTTTGAACGGAATGAAAATGAAAGCATGACATTTCAAAATCTCTGGAATATGGCTAAAACAATACAAAGAGAAAAATACCTACATTAGAAAGAGAGAGATAGAGAGGAACAGAGACAGAGAGAGGCCCGAAATCAATGACTTCAAGTTTCATTTTAGGAAACTATCAAAATCAGAGCAAATTAAACCCAAAGTCAGCAGAAGAGAAAAAGCAATAAAGATCAGAGAGGAAATCAATTAAATTACAAAAAAACAATAGAGAAAATAAACGAAACCAAGAGCTGGTTCTTGGGGGAAAAATCAATGAAATTGATAAACCTACAGTCAGATTGATGAAATAAGAAGAAAAAAGATGCAAATTATCACCAATATCAGGAATGAGATAAGTGACACTATTACAGATTCTACAGAATATAAGTCTAACAAGGCAATCATTAGGAACAACTTGGTGCCAGTAGATGAACTGGAGAGATTCCTTGAAAAGTAGAGACTGCTATCAAAGCTCACTATGCTGCTAACAGTTCACAGCTGCGCGATCTCCAGAGAATTGTTCTTGGCAGAATGGAACCTGCCTACCTGGAGATGCATGACCCCTAAGGGAAAAACCTGCAAATAATAACCAACTATCATATGGGTTTAAAAAAGCAATCCCTCTACCCTTGTCTCAAGTTGGAACCAATTCTATGGTGGTATTCATGCTCCAGGGCCTTCTTGGAATCAGGCTGAAGCTAGATCCCACTTCCACCCTTATTTGACTTCCTTCCCTGGCCGTATCCTGCTGTTCTCACCCTCCTCTTCCTTGGTTTTTCTCAATAAATTACTTTCCCAAGAATCCCTGTTTAAACCTCTGCTTATAAAATGTCCTACCTAAGATAGGGTACTCGAGGGAGGCTAGAAGGCAAAAGAGAGAGAGGAGGGACTTGCTCCTTTCCTTAGTTTGCAGTTCCTGGCTACAACACCCCAGCAATGACCCCTTATCTTGTGTTATGGATTAAATTGTGTCCCCAAAAAAGATGTCAAAATCCTAATGCCCTGTATCTGTAAATATGTCCTGATTTGGAAACAGTGTTTTTGCTGATGATCAAGGTAAGATGAGGTCATTAGGGTAAAGTCTAATCCAATATGACTGGTGTCCTTATAAAAAGGAGAAATTTGGACGCAGAGATAGACATGCATAGAGGAAAGATACAGAGAGATTACTACCCACAAACCAAGGAGAGGAGTGCTGGAGGCTGCCGGAAGCCAGGAGAGACGCACAGACACATTGTACCTCATATCTATCAGGGGAGCCAACCCTGCCAGTATCTTCATTTCAGACTTCTAGCCTACAGAACTGAGAGAATACATTTCTAGGGCATAGGGGGGTTGTTTGTTTGTTTTGTTTTGGGTTTTTTTTTTTTTTTTTGAGGCAGAGTTTTAGTCTTGTTGCCCAGGCTGGACTGCAAATGGAGTGATCTCGGCTCACCACAACCTCTGCCTCCCAGGTTCAAGAGAATCTCCTGCCTCAGCCTCCCTAGTAGCTAGGATTACAGGCATGCACCACGACACCTGGCTAATTTTGTGTTTTTAGCAGAGACGGGGTTTCTCCATGTTGGTCAGGCTGGTCTCGAACTCCCAACCTCAGGTGATCCAACCGCCTCAGCCTCCAAAAGTACTGGGATTACAGGCATAAGCCACTGCACCCGGCTGAATTTCTGTTGTTTTAAGCCCACCTAGTTTGTCATACCTTGTTAAGGCAGCTCTAGGAAAGCAACATATCCTGTCTGTAGCAATTGGTTTCAGCCTCCAATCTTCTTCCTGTGCTGCTATCGTCAGCTTCATTTCACCATCTCAGGGTATCAGGACCCACTGGGCAGCAACCCTGTCTCCACAGCTCTAGGAGGGCTCTCCAATAAGCACCTAAATTCTATTAACCCCAGCTCTTCCCTCATTCCTCAATCCCTAGGGATGGGAGTGGCTTCCTGCAGGAGTGTTCCCCTTTTGACCTTTCAGTTTCCTGACATCCACTTAACTAATTCCACATATATAAATTTCACTGTGAAAATAGCTAGCATGGTCTATTTCTAACAAAGACCTCTGACTGAAAACTATCTCATTCCAAATTAAGAATCTAAAACCGTAACATACCTTATAAGATCCCATGCAATCTGGACCCTCGCTATTTCTCTGTCTTTGTTTCTTGTCTCTGCCCAAATACTGCCTCAGAAAACACTTTTCCTGATGATCTGTATAAAATTATTTCTCCCAACCCCTGCAATCTGTCCCCATGCTCCCTTTTCTCTGCAGCATTCCTTGTCATCTGATATACTCTGTATCTATTTGTTATCTATCTTCCCCATTAGAATATGACTTCCATGAGAAAAGTTTTATTCACTGCTGAGTCCCCAGGGTCCAGAGCAGGCTCTGGCACACAGTAGGTACTGACTTTTGAAAGAAAGACTAACTGTAGAAAAACCCCTAGGAGCAGCCCTACCATTGTTTCCGTTTACCTGAACTATAACCAACCTTTAATTTTTAAAGGATGTATATTTATTAGCTCGCTTTGCTGGCCACTCTTCCTCTGTGGAGTCACACTTTAGTAGCAAGGTCTCCTGCACTTCCTTTAAATTGTGTGCTTTCTTCTGTTTAACAATTTACTTTTTGAGACAAGGTCTTGTTCTGTCTCCCAGGATGAAGTGCAGTGATGCAATCGTAACTCACTGCAGTCCTGATCTCCTGGGCTCAAATGATCCTCCCATCTCAGCCTCCCAAGTAGTTGGGACTACAGATGTTCCACCTTGCCCAGTTAATTTTTCTTATTTTTTTTTAGAGATGGAGTCTCACTATGTTGCCCAGGTTGGTCTCCAACTTTTGGGCTCAAGTTATCCTCCTCTTGGACTCTGCAGTTGCTGGGATTACAGGGGTGAGGCGAGCCACTATGCCTGGCCCAATTTAAAATTTTTATAATGCAAATATTTGCTTCATTTTAAACCTTTAAAAATTATCAACTTAATCAAGATCAGCCCGTCAGCAGCATTTATTGAAAGGCTGGTTGCTATGCCATGAGTCTAAACTAGACCATGTTGAGGTGTCCAAAGAAGGAAATGCAGTTCCTGCCCTTGCGGAGCTTATAATCTCATGAATATTCAACTTGTGTATATGAAAATGTCTCAGATATTTACCAGTGATGCACAGAAGAAAATACGGTATCTATGTGGTTGTTAGATGAGGTGCAATGGTTCAAGGGCCGTTCAAACTAGAATAATTCTTAGAAGACATTGCTGTCAAGCCAGAATTTAAAGAGACAAAGATGGATAAGTATAAAGTAGGAAAAAAGGGTACGTGCAAAAACAAAAGGAAACGACAAATATATGGAAGTAACTTAATTAGTTACCTGGAGTCTATAAACCAAAAATCTGTGAATTTGGCCTCTAACCTTCCTGTTCTGAGCTATCTGTTCCGCACTTCTCAGATGTATCAAATTATTTCTGAACTCAAATGCTCCTATACTTTAAATGGCTGTTGGAATCACTTCATACTCCTTCCAAGCCATCCTAGGTCTCCACTGAAATGTCATTTTCCCAGAGCAGCTTTTTCCAGGCACTTAATCTGAAATAGATGTGCTGTGCTTTGTTATTCTGTACTTTAGTATTTCCTTCATAGCCCTTACCATAATTTATAACTGTAACTTTATTTGTGACCTTATCATTTGTCTTCCATACTAGATTATTAACTATCGAGAAGCAGGATGTTTGTATTATTTTTCAGTACTATATTGCTCAGCACGGTACCTGACACTTAATATTTATTTGTTGAAATGGAATTAAATAGTACATTTTTCTGTGAAGGCCAAAATTCCATATATAAAACTAATTCCAAAACCCAAAATAATTTTATTTTAAACACTTACCAAAGTTAAATCGTCATCACTTCTGATACACTAAAAATGTATATTCATATAACTCTCGAATTATGTATGTATGCATATATATATATGCATACATACATAATTCACATACATGGTAATAGTTTGAGCTTTACATTTGAAATTAATTTCAATTTGCATCACATATTTCTTTTTATAATAAACTGAATATGTTCATGAGAATCATTAATTCTTCTAAAGTAGGGAACATAACCCTGGATAGGACCAGGGTATGAGGGTGGGATGGTCTAAGCTGGTGCTAGCTCATACAAGATGCCCTGGTGCACATTTCAAAAAGCACCCACATCCTCTGGGTAGACACAGACACACAGCAACATAAGCTCTGCTTGGTGAATGGAGCCTGGGCAGGGCTTCAGCTCCCACTTTAGGTGCTCTTGCACAGGGCATGACCTGCATATGGGTGGCAGTCCTGGGGGGGTTGCTCAGTGGTGGTATGAGCAGAAGATGTGAACTAGCCACCCTTATGCTGTTCCATTTCTTGCTTAAAAAGGTCGACTTGATTTGTATGGATTATTTCGGTCAGGAAGGATTCCCTTCTTCTTTTCACCACTCTGTCGGTTTAGCTGAAGAGGGAGAGCTCTCTGATGAAAGGAGACCATTTTTCATGTTCGAGTGTATGCGTGGCCTGCTCCCCCACTTCAGCCTCCAAGGGGGCTTTCTAGGTTTAATCTGAAGATATAACCCAGTGTTGATTCTTGATTCCTAATTATGCTGTCAGTCTGGTTGTAGGCAAGGGTTGCAATTTTCCCTCTGGAAAAAAGAATCAGAAGTTAGTCCATTTGTATAACACTGCTTAGTAACTGTTTAGAAATTTTATCAGTAACACGAAGAATAAGCTCAAGTTATCTCTTAAGTGACCCAATTTATTGACTTTCAGACAAACAGTGGATGAAATCAATTCTAGTTTCCATATGTCAAGAAATAACAAGCATGTCTCATTTCAGCAATCTTTTAGAAACTTTCTATGTCTTAGGGTCATGGGTTAAAACAGATGCATAGTATTTTAAAACCAAAATTAATTTAGCTTTAAGTGTCTTTTGACCTGAATTATAAGCCATAAGAAAGGCCTGTTTCAAAACTACTAACATGAATTTGTCAGAGTAGGAGTGCAAGCCACTGAAATACAATTTCAGAAGGATTTTTATTTTGGAAAAAGAATATAAAACTGGCATTTGGGAATAAAATGTTGGATAGTGGAAAGCACCCCAGATTGGGTCCTGATTCCTCATTCTCAAACTACCTAATGAGATGAAATTGTGCAAGTGATTTAAATTTGATGGGATTCATCTCGAGATCTATTAATAAGTTTAAAGCCTTAAAGTCTTTATAGTTCTCTGGTTAATTTTATATGAAAAGTCCTCAAAGCAGAAAGAATATCACAAGAAGTAGCCTGTGGGATCCAAAGTGGCACTTACAACCACATGTATGAAGAAGTCATGTGTGTACAACAGCCCCTGGGGAAAATGTTACATATGTCATCAGGGCCCTACATTTAGCTGAGGAGTGGGCGAAACATCCTAGCAGATTCTTTTCACTTATTCTGATGTGTCATCTCTTTTGGGAAAAACCTAACTTCACTAATATCCAGGCTCAGGAAGTGAAAAAGAAGCCTTACCTGGCCACTGGGACCGCTTTGAAGAAGTAATTAATTTAATCAACTGCCCACCTCACCATCACCAACTTTCGCAATCGCTTGGCAAAATCTATGTCCAACAAGTGAAGCAAATCCAAATATGGTGAATATTCCTCCACTGCCAAAATGGGAAAACTGCCTTATCTGCTCATCAAAGCCTATCTTCTTGGAAACCGGCTCCTCTGTTAAATACCCAAGTGGGCTAAATGCACATTTTGTGTGCAACCCTGTAGAAGCTCCTCCTGATGCTAACTTTCGGGGATCCGGTAAACGTCAAGTCACCGCTCTTGATAACGTAGACATCTTTTTAGAAACACCTTATTTACACAGACTTTGTCTAGCTGGGGGAAAGGTTAATTTATTTGTATACCGGGGGATAAGCAGGGCACAGCGCTTCTGGACGCCCTCAACAACTAATTCTAATTCTTTCTCCAGATCTAACTCCTCTGTTTCTACACGCAGGTAAATCTCTTACCAGGGGCGGGGTGTGTGTGTGTGTGTGTGTATGTGTGTGTGTGTGTGTGTGTGTGACGTGTGTGTGTGTGTGTGTGTGTGTGTGTGAGACGTGTGTGTGTGTGTGTGTGTGTGTGTGTGTGTGTGTGTGACCTGTGCTCCCAGATGGCACCAGCGGGGCCCAGCTTATTCCCGGACACTTGTGGGACCCTGACGGGGGCAGGTCGGGGACTAACCCGCCCAAACCAAGGCAAGCACTCTGGGAGGCCGACTCGGCTCGGCCTGCAGCCCGACACACCGCCCACTCCGCGCACGCACACGCGTCCGTGCCACTTCAGTGGTTTGCAGGACTTCCGGTGAGGACGAGTCTCCAAACCATCTCAGCGTACTCAACCGCATCTGGGATTCCCCTGCCTCTAAGTTCGACCCCAAGAAAGATCTTTGAGGACTTGAGCTTCACATCGAAAGTCAGTCTGGAAAAAGGGGGTGTCCGTGCGGCTGGGAATGACAAAGGGGCCCAAAACCTCCCTCCCGTCGGCTCCAGCCCACTTAGTTCACCCTCCCACGGGGCGAGGGATTGGCCGGGGGTCGGGGTGGGGATGGCCCTGGAAGGGGTCCCTCCCTTCCCACCTCCCACGGCCCACTCTTACTCACTTTCTCTCGGAGCCTCAGCTTGGCCGCCTTTAGCCCGGGCAGTGCAGAGAGGAAGAGTGGAGGAGAGAGGAGCCTGCTGGCTGCAGCAGCTGGGCAGTCCCGGACTCTCGGGACTGCGCCCCTGCCCCAGGCCGGCAGGGACCCGGAGCCGTAGACGCCCCCACCCGGGCGCCGCGGCAAGGCGGGCACGCTGGGTTCTGCGCCCTCGAGGCTGGCTCCGAAGGCTCGCAGCCCTCCCCCTCCGTCCGCCGCCGTCGCGGCCCGCCGCCCCTCCCCGCCGCAGCCGGGAGGCCGCCGGGGCCAGGGGGACGCGCTCGCGCGGGGGGCCGCCCCCTCCCCTTCCCCCCACCCTGGGCGGGGGCGCGCGAGAAGCGGTGACGTCAAGGGGCGCGCTGTGGCAGCACCTCCCCGCGCGCTAGTTAAAAAGAAGAAGAAAAGAGGGAGCGAAACATGAGAGGCTGTGTGAGAAGCTGCAGCCGCCGGCAGAGGAGACCTCAGCATCATCTAGAGCCCAGCACTGCCCCGCCGCCGCCGTCGCCGTTTCTGTTCCTGCTACTGTCCCACCTAAACAACTCCCGTTACACGGACAAGTGAACATCTGTGGCTGTCCTCTCCTTTTCTTCCTCCTCTTCCAACTCCTTCTCCTCCTCCCACTTCCCAGCCGCAGCAGAAAGCCCCCAACCCAACTGACACTGGCACAACTGCAAACGGTGTCATCGGCACAACTTTATCTGGCTCCTCTGGCTCCCCTAAGACGTTGGACCCATCGCCGCGTCTTTTATTTTTTGCAAAGTTGCATCGCTGTACATATTTTTGTCCCCGCCACCTTCCTCTGCCTCTCGAGTGCCCTGCAGCCCCGCAGCCTCCTCCTGGAGCTGCGCCCTAGTGCCCCTGCTGGGCAGTGGCGTTTCCCCCACATCCTCCCGCGCCCAGCCCCTGCTGCTCTGGGCAGACGATGCTGAAGATGCTCTCCTTTAAGCTGCTGCTCCTGGCCGTGGCTCTGGGCTTCTTTGAAGGAGATGCTAAGTTTGGGGAAAGAAACGAAGGGAGCGGAGCAAGGAGGAGAAGGTGCCTGAATGGGAACCCCCCGAAGCGCCTGAAAAGGAGAGACAGGAGGATGATGTCCCAGCTGGAGCTGCTGAGTGGGGGAGAGATGCTGTGCGGGGGCTTCTACCCTCGGCTGTCCTGCTGCCTGCGGAGTGACAGCCCGGGGCTGGGGCGCCTGGAGAACAAGGTAGGCACTCACTGGCCTCACGGATGCGTACTTGGCATATTGGCTGGGTGGGGTTCCCTGTGGTTCTGGCAAAGCCGGTGGCTGTAAGAAGGGCAAAACTTCTTTGGGGGAGTTCTTTTCCTAACTTTTCTAAAGGGATAACGTGATTCCGTTGTGTGTTCCTCTGTGGTAAAGCAAACAGCATTCCCGCCCCCAGAGTCCACGGTGGGGATGCTGTGCAAACTTGCCTCTCAGAAAACAGACGCTTCTGCGGTACCCGCACCCTGGACTGGGTAGATATTTTAAAAGAATCGCGATTAACAGTGTGTTTTGGATCGAATGAGGGCATTGGTTGCGGTGAAACTGTAAATTAAGGTGGCTGTGGTTTCCGGTTTGTTTTTCTAGGGTAAAAAGATTTGTGCCGTTTTCTCCACGTGCTCGGTTAGGGAGAGGATTGAGTCGTAAAGGATGTTGAAGCATGGTTGGTTTATGATCCCCAGCCCCGTCAGAGGGGGGTGTCTTGCATTACATTAGTTAAACCAACGGAAAGGAACTCCTGGTCCTCCGGTTAGGAACCCGAAAAAAGCTGGCGAAAGATTTTGCTGAAACGTTATTTGTCACATAAAACGGAGACGATTCTCCGTCATTGTGTAAATTATAAATTCAGGCTTTCAGGGTCAGTTAGGTGTCTTGGAAGAGCTTCTCTAAGAATTTGTTTTAAGAGTAATGGCATTTACGTTTTCCTTGTGTGTTAATAAGTTTAACTAAATACCAACATACTGTTTATTGATTGTAAAGACACGCTTATTTTTGAGTTTGCAATATCGTTATTGCCAGGAGATGCAGTCATGTGTGGTATCTACTGTACTCCAAGGAATGATTGCTGGGTCACATCATTAACAATCACTGCACGTGAAATAAACAATCAGGTGTCTTTGCTCCTCCTCCCTTTCCCTATTTTAGGTTTAATTAAGAATTCCTCTGTTAGAACACTGCCAGTTGTCAAGGTCTGAGAGGCTCTTGGAAAACTTGTGCTTCAGTCTTGCTGGCCCAGGCATAATAAAAAAAAAAAAAAAAAAAAAAAAAAAACCCAGGCTGAATCTAATTTTTATGCTCAGTTCACGGTAGATTTCACTCTATTCTCATGTAAACAGCTCCTACGAATCAACATATGTGTCTGGGTGGTATCTCTCACTTTGTTTTGTAACAAAAAGCCATATTGCATCATTTAATTTGCTCAAGTCATGCAAATAGGAAAAAATCAATAGGACAAAAAGGGGTCGACTTATCCTCCTCCCCACTAAACTGCTGCCCACACACAGAGTCCTGTTGCTTATGGCAAAAGAATAACAACAACACCATTGTATTTGTTAGTTGGTTCACTAATGGGTGAAACTAGAGAACATCATTCTCTTTCAGTCCCCAGCTCTGTCCAAATGTTCATGCCTTTTGAGGGAGCATTTGTCCAACTCCTTCTATTCCCAGATGAGTGAGAACTGTCTTGCTGCAGGTTTTCAGCTGCAACTCTCTTTTTATTCTTACCATATGCAGCAGGAGCCTGAGATTCAGGGAACAGATATTCCAGGATTTTATTCAAAACAGTGTCCTGAATCTCCTGTGTTGCAATTGAATTAAGTTACAAAACAGCTACATTCAGTTCACCTTAAAGGTTTTATCAGCAGCCCTAAAGAACCAGGAAATTCAGAGAAAAGTTTAGAAATATTTGCCATTAAGCCTTCCTTGGTGCAATACATGCTATGAATAAACTGAGGATCTAGAGACCCCTGCAATACTGAACTCTTCCAGGGACATATGGAATGAAAATTTTGTTCTTGACTCAATGGTGGGGAGAAGGGAAAAGGAGATGGGACTGAGGGGAGTTATAGTCCTTAAGAGTAGTTATATAAAAACTTTTTTAAAGAAATCATTCTTTAGGAAGCAATCTGACATGTTAACTATACATATTCCTTTCTGTTTTATGTGCTTCCAATCTCCAACAAACCCCTACTCATTTGGAAAGTGTGTCTGAGTTAACTTTGGTACACTAGACTTTTGCTGGTTCCATTACAAGTGGCTTATAAACTAACAATACCCAAATTGTTCAAAATAGAGATTTGCTATAGGTATGCATATGCATTCTTGACCTATGTTACTTCTCAAGTTTTAATAGTTTTTAAAACATGTTATTTTATAATAAACTTCAGTGTTTCCCTTTTTCCCGTAAGCCTTCCTGGATTATAATATATGTTAGGATCTTATTTCATAATGTGTATACAGGAGGGATGATTGCTATTTGAAAGGGTCCTTTATTGTTTATGAAAAAAAAAATCCCCAGAAAGATTTCTGCAGCCTTTCAAGAAACTACAGTAGTAGCTTTTTCCTACAGGAAGAATTTCTTAGACAAATAGATAGTAGAAATATTAGCATGCTCAGCTACGCAATTAAGTCCTGTTTCTCAGCTAAGAAATTTTCTTTAATGAACTAGAATTGACTTCAATTCTTTAGACATGGAATTGTGCTCTTATTTTAATTTTTTAAATATTTTAATAATGTTGTATATTGTGATGAGATTGTTTACTATGGCAAATAATTACTGTCAAAATTTAGAAAGTCATATTATCTTAGCAATATTATTGCACTTTCTAAATATAGCCTGTTAAAAGGATCTAATTCTCATTAAGCAAATTGAATCTGCAACCAAATTATATAACCCCCATTTCTAAAACTTAACTTGTAGCCACAGAGGCATAGAGCTCTCTCTACCTTGGGTGGTTTCACAGCCAAAGCTGTCAAGGAATGGGTGAAAAGTAATTGTTTTCAAGTGTGCCCTTTTACAATCATTTGTTTGCTCTGGCTCTTTCAGGGACAAAGGCTATTGTTGAACACATCCAACTAAACAAATAACTCATCCTGGGGTCCCTTTAACAGCTGCCTTAGTACAATGATCTATTTACATATTAGCCTAAAATTGAAACTGAACTCTTTAATGACATAATCCAGCACTATAGTTGAGAGACACATGTGTTCTACCCAACAGCTGAACAACCTTGTAGGCATATGATTTTTAGAAATAACTTTTTGTAAACCAAATGATCTTAAGGCGACATCTTAATATACTGTCATGTATTTTCTCCTTTTGTCCCCTCATCGAACCCATGTGGGTGCCTTTTGCCCTCTTTGTTTAGTTACTTGGTAAATAAAGAGAAATACAGAAGGTCTCTGTCACCCATTTTACTATTTGTTGATAAGCTATAGTTGGAGGCCACACTTTACTGTGTATCCCCTATTTATCTTACCCTTCTTCTATGGATTTTACTTTCGTGTGGCTAAAGATTAAAGGATGACCTGCCAGATGTTATAAATTAGCAACAGCCACAATGATTACTAGGCATGCTGTAATAATGTTTCGAAGTTTTACATGATTTCTGAAGTATATTTAGTTAAAACCACTATAATTTGATGGTTTTGTATATGGCTTTTAGAAATCGAAACAGGAAATTAGCTTAAATTTCTTCTTAAAATTGATAGCATCGTCAGAAATAAACTTAAGGACCTATATAAGACACAGACAAATAGGCAAAAAAGTAGAAATCACCCTACACACACCCAGACTCATCTGTCTAAAACACTGTTGCAGCTTTGGCTGAGTCAGTTTAATTGACTTCAATAAGACTATTGGTTCATTGAAACCAAAGCCAGAATGATGGCTTTATCTATCTTCAAATAGGTATTTACACTGCAGACCTCACACAGAGCAAAATGTTACCGTCCTGCTGGGCCGGAACAGCATGAAACTTTAAAAAGAATAATATTATACTTGATTTCAGATAATTTATTGAATCCTACTTCTGAAACTTTTGATGAGAGATCTGTGGCCAGAACACATTCCAAAAATTGTAAAAGACAAAATTACTTAGGCACTAAAATCAAGCTCTTCCTGGATAGCAGCTGAGAGAGTATATGAGGATCATTTTGTTTCAGCTATAAAAAATGGAAGCATGCATAATCTCCATAAAACAAAAGGTAATTACATTCCAGGTTTTAAGCCAGCAAAAAAGGGTGGCTTCGGCATCCTGCAATTGTTTTGTTCTTAGTGGACTGCTATATGATAAACAAACAGAACAGAATTGAACACTATTAATATTGAATAGTTCTGGTGAGGTTTGCCAGAGTATGGACAATATAACACATTTAAAACATTCTTGGAATGCAAATTCTAAGGGTGTAGTGTATGTTTCCTTTCAGAAGATTTTATCCATTTAAGCAATGGTTATTTAAATAAATTGATAAG